CCGGCTGGTCCCGCCCACCCGCGCCACGCCCCAGCCCACGACGCGGGGCCCACACTGTACCCGCTTCACGAAGGGCAAGTCCGGGTGGTACTTGGCCGGCTTCAGCAGCAGCAGGATGCGGTCGAAGAGCTGGATGCCGCTGAGCGACGTGACGCCCATGTAGAGGAAGATGCCGAACAGCACCGCCAACGGGATGCGGGACAGCACCGGCTCCATGAGGATGGACAGGCCTGCGGGGACGCGCACGTCAGCCCGGCCCCACGCGGCCACCGCGGCACCCACGGGCCTGATGTGGGCTGGGATGGAACTCACGGGTCCCAGGGGCTTTGGCTGGGGTCGTCTATGGATACTCCACAGCCCTTTTTATGTTGAGACGAAGCTCCTGAGTTGCCCAGGTTGGGCTCAAACCTGCTGTTCTCTGGATCGCCGCGAGTTCGAGGCCAGCTTGGGCTAAACAGTGAGCTCAAGGCCAGCCTGAACTGCACAGCGAGACCCTATCTCAAAAAAACAAAAACCAAAAACCAAAAACTTGCAACCTTCCTGCCTCAGCCTCCCAGAGTGCTGGGAACATGGGTGCGCCCCACTGCACCCAGCTTTGTGGATCCTTTCAATAAACATTGTCCTGCTTTATGGATGAGCAAGTGGGTGCAGAGAGGCGATGCATGGCTGGCAAGGGGTCCAACTGCACTGCCAGCCGTAAACCCACTCCCCTTCCTTGTGGGGTCACCAAGGCCACAGAAAGGGACCTTCCTGCTCCCTACCCAGAGTGCTTCCTGACCCCTCCGGGACAGGTGGACACACCTCTCCTAAGACACTCCCCTGCCCATTGTGGTGGTGCACGCCTGTAGTCCCAGTGCAGGCTGAGGCAGGGGGTCGAGGGCCTGAGGTCAGCTGGACCCCATCTCAAATTTAGGGTTGGGGGGTAGCTAGGCTGCACAGAGCGTTTGATCCCTGGCACCAAAGCACAGGCCCCACTTCAGCTCTGGAGTGGGGGCCTCGGCCTTGCTTTGCCCTCCAGCTGGTGGAGGAGACACAGGGTGTCCTGGGCCCTGTCCCTGGCTGGCCACTTGCCCTCACTCACCCACCAGCACGGACACCAGCAGCCCACTGATCCGCTGCTCCTTGACCTCCTGGATCTGGGCTGCAGCCCCCGGGGTGCTGGCCTTGCCCATGACGGTGAGGGCGTTGGCGTGGGTGACGGAGCGCACGGTGGTGGCACTGAGCCAGGGCATCCCAAAGAGTGCAGCCACCCCGCCCATGCCCACCACCAGCAGCAGGTCCAGGTGGAAGCCTGAGCCCTTGGTCATCTTGCGTTCCGGCTTGCTGACGATCAGCCTGGGGGAGGGATCAGTGAGCCGGGCCCGTGCACCCCCGGTGACCATCTGAGGATGCCCACGGCCGATGAGCAGCCCCACCCCAGCGCTTTGCCTGAGCAGCCTCATTCTAGGGTTGCCAATTTGCATCTTTTATCTTAGGGCCCTCCGAGCCAGGCATGGGGGCATACCCCTGTCACCCATCAGGAGGCTGAGGCAGGATTGCCATGAGTTCCAGGCCAGCTTGGGCTACATAGTGAGTTTAAAGACAGCCTGGACTACATAGCAAGACCATGTCTAAGAGAGATAAAAACAAAAACAAAAGAAAAAAGCAAAGGCTGCCCAGCAAGACAGCCTCAGTACAGGGAAGCTGCCCCCCCCAGTCCTGGTGCCAGTGGCTAGGGCCACGCCCAGCGTCCCCGCCCCCGGGCTCTCACGTCGTGATCTGGGACTCGAGGAAGATGAGGATGAAGACCAGCAGGGCAGGCAGGGCAGATGCGAACATCATCCATGTGGGGAAGAGTCTGTACAGGCCCAGCGGGTGAATGACCCAGCCCCGGGCCGAGGCGTTGGACACTTTAAGGCCGTCAGGCACCGAGAGTTTCTGTGGGAGGAGACAGCGCTGAGGGGCGGGCACTGGGCGGGGCCTAGGGACCCTGGCGCCGGGGTTTTCTGAGCCGGCCCTCTTCACCGGCTCAGTCCCAGCCTCTCAGATGAAAAGAGACCCAGAGACGCTGTGAAGCTCGTGCGTGTCACACGCTGCGTGGTGGCCAAGCTCAGAGCGGGCTCTTTCCCACTGCCCTGGCAGGCAGGGTCTGCGGGCCTGGAGGGCTCCGGGGCCAGGCAGATAGGGCTGCGGCAGGGCCGGCGTGGGGAGCGCCTGGGAAGGGCGTGAGGGTGTGTCCGGGGAGGGTACCTGGGTGTAGGTGTCTTTGATGAAGGAGTCCACCAGGACCATGATCAAGATGGAAATGGGGACCCCGAAGTCTCCGATGACCCGGCGTAGCTGGGGACAGAGGAAAGGTGGAGATGGGCACGGGCGCTGTGCCCTCCGGTCCCCACTGACCCAGGGCCGGGCCAGCCTCTACTGGTGCCTGTCCCCATCCAGCGGTCCCACCTCCTGCTGCTCCCAGGCCCACCCTGCCTGAGAGCTGTCCCTGCTCCCTGCTGGGCCCCCAGCCTGGCCTTGCCCAGGGGGGACAGGGGCGTGGGATGGGGCTCTGGAGGAAAGGGGAGGTGCCGGGAAGCTGGGGTGCAGCCGGCCTGGGGGAGGGGTGGGTGGGGCGGCGGACCTTGCCGGGGAAGTAGGAGCTGTTCTTGAGCTTGCGAAGCATCATGGCCAGGATGAAGGTGCCAGCCATGAGCACCAGGGAGAAGAGGGCCGTGTTGGGCAGAGGCCCCCTTGGCTTGGTCACCTTGGGGTCGTACGTTTTCTGCAGCGGGTGGTCCTGGAAGATCTGCAGCGGAAGGCCCGGTAGCTCCCTCAGCCAAGCAGGGCGGGGCACACCCTGTCTACCCAGCAGGGACTCATGCCTCCACCCAGCCGTGCCTCTGCCCATCGCTGGGCGGCTGAGCTGCCTAGGACGCTTTCTTCCCTCTGTCCACCTCCTGCCCAGCTGACACGGTGACAGAGGGGCCCCCGGAGTTTGGTTGTCAGAGATGAAGACCGGGTTAGGCTCTCGTGAGGGGTGAGTGTGCAGCCTGTGCACGGAGGGGCAGCCGTGAAGGCCGCAGCGCAGACCAGGCAGGAGAGGTTTTCTCCAAGGGGCTTAAGGGGCCGGGCTGGGACTAGGGGCAGAGTGCTTGCCTAGTGTGCCCTGGGCCCTGGTTCCAGCCCCAGGACTGCAAAATAAATACACAAATACATAAATGTACATCTTGGAAGGCCTGGAGACTGGAAAGGCCTGTGCCCTTCTCCCCAGAAAGTGCAGACAGCAGTGGGCCGGCTCCCGGGTCACAGGTGGGCACCTGGTGCTCTCCACCTTCGCGGTGACTGGGCGCCACACCGTCAGCCACACCGCCCATCATCCCTTGGGGTGCGGTGCACCATGGCCACGGCCAGCACGAGGACACTGAATCACAGGTGCAAGCGTGCAGCCCAGCCCTGCACCCGGAAACAGGCCCAGGTGCCTCGCGGCCAGACGCCAGCAGACGCATCCCGGCCAGGCCCACCTTGATCAGCTTGGAGAAGGTCTCATAGATGAAGATGAGGGAGATGAGAAACGAGAAGATCTCCTGCGTGTAGCGGGAGATGAAGCGGACCAGGAAGCTGCCCTCGAAGGCCACCACCAGCAGCACGAGCAGGATGAGCCAGAAGCCGATCCAGGCGCGGCCCACGATGTATTCCAGGCCGTGGCTCTCGCAGAACTAGGGTGCGGGAGGCTGGCGTCAGGCCCTGGAGGCTCGGCCCTGGCATCTCACGGGGTGGGTGGGGACGGCGCTACCCACCAAGAAAAACGCATCCTCGAACACCAGCAGCGGCCCGGAGAAGCCGAGCACCAGCAGGGGCTGCGCGCCCAGCAGCGCGAAGACGATGCCCTGCACCGCGGTGGAGATGAGCAGTTCCGACACGCCCATCTGGTTCCCGGTCTTCTCCCCTGCGGGCGAGCGGCGGGGTCAGCCGGGATGCCCAGGGCCGGGGTCAGGGGGAGGCGGAGGGACGCCAGGCGGTCGGCACTGACCCAGGAGGCCACCGAACGTGATGGCTGGCGACAGAGCGGCGAAGTAGATGAAGATGACAGCGGCCAGGACCTGGGGGCTCAGCGCGTCCCTGATGTCGCTCAGGTAGTAAGGGTAGCGGCGCCGGACGTCGCGCACCAGGCCCCCGAAGAGCTGGCCCGTCCGCTGCAGGGGATCAT